TTAATCTCCGAGCTAGAGCGTTTGAACAATGTTCATGTACCGCGATGTTACTTTCAAGATAACGGTCTATCGAAGACAATACAACTGCATTGCTTCAGTGATGCATCTAAGGCAGCGTATGCTGCTGCTGTTTATATTCGATCCAGTTACTCTGATGGTCATATCGATGTGAATTTAGTGACGGCAAAAACGAGAGTCGCTCCGTTGCAGAAGCAAAGCATCCCAAGACTCGAGTTACTCGGTGCAAACATTCTCGTACGACTCGCTGCGAATGTAAAGAACGCCTTGAACTTGTCACAAGATGTGATGATAATTTATTGGATCGATTCAATGACGGTTTTGTATTGGATAAAAAATAACAAGCCATGGAAGCAGTACGTGATGAGCCGAGTAAACGAAATTCGTGAGTTGACCAACCAAGAGTTGTGGCGACATTGTCCGGGTAAGCAAAACCCTGCTGATCTTCCATCTCGTGGACTAAACGCATCGGAACTAACAAACGAAATCCGATGGTAGAAGGGCCCTGAATTTCTTTACAAGCCCGAAGCTGATTGGCCGCAAACGGCAGAAAGCAAGGAAACAGAATTTACTAAAGACGAAGTTGTGAAGAATCCTGTTAAACAGACCCATGCACTAGCATCTTCTGCACCCCGAACAATTGAGAAAGACGATGTGTCCAACGTTAATCTCGAAGCGATTATAGACTGTAACCGTTACAGCTCTAAAACGAAACTATTACGAGTAACAGCATTAGTTCTGAAATTCGTGAAACACCTGAAACTCGAAGAGGGAGCTCGTACGACGGAGCCAGTGGAAATCAATGCAAAGGAGTTGTTAGAAGCAGAAATGTTATGGTTAAAGAGCATACAATCAGCTGCGTTTGAAACGGAGTTTAGGCTCTTGAAATCGAAGAAAGAGAAAAATCAGCTTATAAATCAACTCAACTTATTTCTTGATGAACGTGAGTTGATCAGATGCCAAGGACGACTCGATAACTCAGATTTACCTACCGAAGTCAAGACACCCATTCTGTTACCGTGTAGACATCGCTATACGGAGTTTTGTATTCAAGAGGCTCACAAAAACGTACACCATAACGGGATAAGAGAAACGCTTAATCGTGTTAGGGAGAAGTATTGGGTCCTCCGGGGAAGAGAAAGTGTAAAAAGAATTGTTAAACGATGTGTTGTATGCAAGAAGATGGAGGGAAAATCATTTTCTACACCACCAGTTCCAGCACTCCCCCAGAGTCGTGTAAGTGACGATCCACCGTTCGCGAATACCGGACTGGACTTTGCGGGTCCCTTGTTAACATCTGAAGACGGTAAAACAGAGAAAATATATATATGCTTGTTTACGTGTGCGTCAACTCGTGCGGTTCATTTGGAGTTGCTCAAGAGTATGTCTGCCGAGTTATTCCTGCAGGCATTTCGTCGTTTTACAAGTCGAAGGGGGTTGCCAAGAAAACTTTTGTCTGATAATGCAAAGACCTTCAAGGCCGCTGCTAAAGAAATACGAACCATTTCTCGTGCTACGAATGTTCAACGCTACTTAACAGACAATGGTGTCACATGGGCGTTTATAACGGAGAAGGCGCCGTGGCACGGCGGATTTTGGGAGCGATTGGTTAGGAGCGTAAAGAGATGTTTGAAAAAATCACTTGGGCGTACTTCCCTTACATTTGAGGAACTTCGAACAGTTATAGTCGAGATTGAAAGCACTCTAAACAGCAGGCCGTTGACTTATATATACGATGAGCAGGAGGGTGTTTCTTATCCCCTCACCCCTTCGTGTCTGATATATGGACGGAGAATTACAACAACGCCAAGTGACAGTCATTTCGAGATTGCATGTACGAATAAAACATTGACCAAACGCGCGAAGTATCAGAATCGCATTTTGAAGAATTTTACGGATCAATGGAAGAAAGAATACCTAGTTAGCATTCGCGAAGCTTCACGTTCAGAAACTAACAGAAAGGAGTCTATAGAAGTCGGTGACGTTGTTATTCTCAAGGATGGAAACCAACCACGAACCTTTTGGAGGTTAGCTAAGATTGAAACATTAATTCCGAGTAAGGACAAAATAGTTCGTTCAGTGATGGTGAAGGTTTTGGGCAACGATAAGAAGAAACCAATTCTATTGCGAAGACCGATTCAACACCTCGTGCCTTTGGAAGTTCGAAGCAAGTTGGACTAAGATAAGTCTGAAGAAGAAAAACAAAACACCATAAACACTAGTTATATCTTACTTAATGAACTTGTTTATTTTTAGTTGTTTGTTCACCGTGGGTGACCAACCCCGGGACTGTTATGAAGACTGTTAAAAACGTGCGAGAGACACCTTAAGTTAAAGGTAGAACTCAGGCTTCCCTGAGAACAAGTTGCGCGAACACATGTTTTTTTTGTGATGTAGTTTTATATTTTTTTTATACGAGTTTTATATACGAGTAAACCCTGAGATTTTCGACGATATTTTAGTTTGTTTTTGCGTAGAGTTCGATATTTATCACACTTATTTAAGTCGCGTCTTATGTAAGTCGCGACTTATTTTGTCACGTATAAATGGCCCTATTGTTTACAAATGGTATATCCGTAATATTTGAACAATAATTTCAAATTCCTCATTCCCAAATATAGTTATTCAAAGCAAAACAGTAGATTGTCTTGCGAATAAAAGAATTATTATTTTGTGCTTTCGCTTCACCTTGTCAACATAATAATAGTGTTGCTTCAAACTTTATGATAAAATCCCCGATTTTCTAGACGTGTATACAAATAAAAATAGTAAGTTATACTATAAATGAGTTTATTTTACCTGTATCGGTTTAAATTCGCTGTTAAGTCGCAAATAATTCTGTTTGAGAACGCAACAATTGGGCATTTCGCAATCAGGGCAGTTTCAGGGCAGTTTTGGCCTTGTTGTTGGGAAATCCACTAGGCCCAGCCTAGACCTAGGCCTTCTAGTCTTAATCTTATCTTATTTTTAATATTCAGCGCTTTTTCACATGAAAAGACTGGGACTAGGTGATTTGGGGGCGGGGCGGAGGAAGCAAGCCTAGAAGGCCTAGTTGATTTCCCAACAACAAGGCCCAAACTGCCCTGAAACTGCCCTGGTTGCGAAATGCCCAATTATTGCGTTCTCAAACAGAATTATTTGCAACTTAACGGCGAATTTAAACCGATACAGGTAAAATAAACTCATTTATAGTATAAACTAACTATTTTTATTTGTATACACGTCTAGAAAATCGGGGTTTTTATCATAAAGTTCGAAGCAACACTATTATTTAATATGTTGACAAGGTGAAGCGAAAGCACAAAATGAGTCAAAGTATATACCAAAAGTAGAATCTTTCATGAAATTTTGTCTTATACACAAGTACATTAATATATATTTTCTCAATTTTGGCAAGAAGCAGTCTTGTGTTTGTAAAATATACAAAATAAAACGGATACATATATTAATATTAGCCCGTACAGTACTGCATATAAAAACGTACATTGTTTATACAAATGGTATATCTGTAATATTTGAACAATAATTTCAAAATCCTCATTCCCAATTCGCAAATATAGTTATTCAAAGAGCAAAACAGTAGATTGTCTTGCGAATAAAAGAATTATTATTTTGTGCCGTTTCGCTACACCTTGTCAACATATATAAATAGTGTTGTTTCAAACTTTATGATAAAAAACCCAATTTTCTAGACGTGTATACAAATAAAAATAGTAAGTTTATACTATAAATGAGTTTATTTTACCTGTATCGGTTTAAATTCGCTGTTAAGTTGCAAATAATTCTGTTTGAGAACGCAACAATTGGGCATTTCGCAACCAGGGCAGTTTCAGGGCAGTTTCAGTTGTTGGGAAATCCACTAGGCCTTCTATTTTTTCGCTTGCGTCACAGCGTCAGGCTTGTGTCCTTCCTCCGCCCCGCCCCCAAATCACCTAGTCCCAGTCTTTTCATATGAAAAAGCGCTGAATATTAAAAAAATATAAATAAAAATAGAAGGCCTAGGCTGCACTAGGCCTTCTATGTTTTCGCTTGCGTCAGGCTTGTATCCTTCCTCCGCCCCGCCCCCAAATCACCTAGTCCCAGTCTTTTCATGTGAAAAAGCGCTGAATATTAAAAAAATATCAATAAAAATAGAAGGCCTAGGTCTAGGCTGCCTGTCCGTGACTTGATCGAGCAACAGTGTGACCAGATATTTTGCAAGGCAATTACTAAATAAGCATGCAAAAAATTACCAAAACGTAGAAAAAATCACTAAATTTCTGCTGTCAACCAAAGTAAGTGGTCTGAAAATCAATAAAACATCTCAGGAAAACAAAATCAGTAAAACGCTTTCCATCACTGAAACTATGTTTTTTCCATGTTTTTCTTTCTCACTTGTACTTTTTGATTGCAATTGTGCAAAATGCAAATATGACGCCGCAATGATTGGGCCCGCACAGCACAGGGTGAGTGGTAATCAACAGGATTCCCTCCATTTAGCTGGACAGCTTGGGCCAGAAGCTTGCAATTTGGATGCACAGCTTTGCAAGCATGGACCTGCAACTGTTCTCATTGAATTTTTGAATAACAGGTTGTGTCATTATGGTGTATTTGGTTGAATTTCATGTGATAACCAAAATATTACTAACTTTAAGAGAAATTACTAAAAAAATTACCAAAAATTTTCAATTACCAAAAAAGTCAGAAAAATCGCGAAATATTACCAAAAGTAATTAAAATTACCAAATCTGGTCACACTGTCGAGCAATAGGGTAAATTTAGCAGGGTAAATTGGAAATTGTTATTGGTGGATTTGGCAAAAATACAATACGCACGTGACGGTGAAGCCGAAGGGCCATATTTATGAATAAACGTTGACTAATAGGGAGTTTACGCATGTAAGACGGCAACGTCGACAGGACGACGGCTAGTGTCAACACAATGTCATTAATCCTATAGCACAAAAGAAATTAATAATTAAAAATATAGCAGGAGTTTCGAATTCAGACGTCGGCTCTGTTGACGACGGCAAAATGCATATTTTCACGTCTTGTAATTGTTTTAGTACGCTAGTAATTCAAGCCGTGGCAGGCAATTTTTCTAACCGAGTTGATCAAAATTGCTCTAGTGAAGGTTAAAGCTCTGTTTTACTAGTTCTAAACTGTATTAAATTCATACGTAAGTAAATACAAGACAATAATTTCCATACAATCATTTATTTCAAAAAGTTTGTTTAGCCGGGCATGTACTAAAACCCGAAACAACAGGAACGAAACCACCGGAACAACCGGAACAAGAATGACCGGCCAACCACCGAAACCAAAATCGAACACGATCGGAACGAAGTAGTAGAACACGACCGGAACGATAGTTATTTAGGTCTCATACAGACAATGCATCTAAATTAAACATCTAAACTTGGCTACTACTTCACGGATTTTAGTGAGCATGAGAAAATCACACTGTACACATTTCGCTTTACTCTTCTCTAATTTTCTGAATATGTCCCTTGCCTTTAGAATCTACAAAACAATTATACGGCCCAGTTTTCACCTGATTGATATAATAAACAAATTGTACTGTTTGAAAAGAAAATAGATTTTAGTTGTTTCGTTTAGCTTTTCCATGTCTTCCACGCTTGCTATAACCATAACGTAAATCGGTAAAATCGCGCGGGAAATACAAGTCACGTGGTAACAAGTGCTTAGTAATAAGGGAGGGGAGGTCAAGGAGGTGGAATTCCGATTCGTCCCGGTCGTGTTCGATTTTGGTTTCGCTGGTTCCGGTCTTTTCCGATTCTTGTTCCGGTTGTTCCGGTGGTTTCATTCCGGTTGTTTCGGGTTTTAGTATACCAGCCGTCGTCCTGACGCCGCCGTCGTACATGCGTAAACTCCCAAATGTCTTAATGAGTTATATTGTTATTCTAATAAGTTTCACAGCCATCTTCCCTTGGACAGGTTATGTTCAGACAAAGTTTAAACCGGTATAAGCTTTAAAAATAGTATCATATGATGCGAATATTATCGACGATGATGAAAAAAATATCAGTATTATGATAAAGTAACTTGTGGCAGAAAACTAGCGTTTTATACTTCCTTCGTAATTTGAGTATCGTGACGTTGAAATATGGCTTCAACTGTAAACAGTAAAGACGCGGTGACGACGGCCAAAACAAATTCCTTCAAATAAAGTAAATAAATGGTAGTAAAGATAATACGTCGTATATTAACAATCGTATGAATTTAATACAGTCTTACAAGTTGAAGACAAGGGTTTTATGCTTGGGAAGAGTTCTGCTGAACCCAGTTAATTTGAATTAGTTGCACTTTAGAAAGGACCAATTCTGTGGTAATTATAGACCTATTTCTATAATATCAGTTGTTGCAAAAATCTTGGAGAAGATTATTTATAATCAAACATTTGACTTCCTAAAACAAAATTCAATTTTGGTGAATCAACAGTCAGGCTTTTGTCCTCTTCACTCAACCGAAACTACACTCTTACATTCCATTATTAATGGCTTTTTATTTCTAGATCTCAAAAAAGCTTTTGACACTGTTAATTGACCATAAAATTCTAATTTCTAAGCTACAGTAGAACTATACGGAATAAAAGGAACCGCTTTACACTTATTTCAATCTTATCTCTCTGAAAGAGAGCAAATATGTAAACTTCAAAAAGAATGTCAGAAGTTGCTAATGTAACTTGCGGTGTTCCCCAGGGATCAAACCTTGGCCCATTACTCTTTCTGTTATACATTAATGACCTCTCTAATTGCCTATAGAAGAAACACAAGCTTCTATGTTTGCGGACGATACAAACTGTCTTGTCAAGGTAAATCGTCCACAGAAATCGAAAACAAAATTAACACTGACTTAGAAAACGTACATAAATGGCTAATTGACAACAAATTAACATTGAATCAGGAAAAAACTGAATGCATGCTGGTAGGCTCAAGACAGAGACTACAACAATCTTCAAGTAATCCTCAAATAGTTATTGGCAACCATATTATACAGCAAGTCTCAAGTAAGAAAGTTCTTGGGGTCATTAATTATTGATGAACAGTTAAAGTGGAAAGAACATAACGATGCACAATGCAAAAAAATTTCCCAGTCAATTGCTCTCTTGAAAAGAGCAAAGCAATTTGTAAGTCAAGATACACTTCTAAACATGTTCAATGCACTTGTCCTACCTCATTTCACATACTGTTCGAATGTATGGAATGCTGGTAGTTGTGCATGCACATATTGAAAAACTACACAAATTGCATCCGCGAGCCGCTCGAGTGATAACGGGTTCAAATTATGAAATAAGATCATCAGAGATATTTGAAAAATTAGGTTGGGAAAAAAATTGAAATCATTCTTAAAAAACGTGAATACGTTATGACATTTAAGGCATTACTAACTACTTGTCAGACCTGTTTGTCGCCAGTCATAATGACACGTATCAATTAAGAAGTAATGATCGAAAACTTTATTTAAACAAACCAAACACAAACTTTATGAAAAATAGCTTTTCATACCGCGGAGCTGTATCCTGGAATAGTCTTCCAGCTGAAATTGTCGATGTATACGACCAACTTTCCTTGTATTCTTTTAAAACTTTAATAAATCATCAGTACAAGGACTTGGAGGGAATACATCGACAACTTAATTAACATAATTCTCTTTTGTTATAATTGTTGTAAATAGAAAACAAGTGAAACTCCAAAATTTTATTTATCTACGTTTCGACTATATTTCAGTCATCATCAGGATAAACTAGCTAGGTTATATGTCAAAAGCAGTATTTATATGAAGAAATATGATACAATTATTAGGTTGATTATTAATAATTAATTAAATATGATTAGTTCTTTAGAAGCTTTAAGTCCATGATTAAGTCAGCCAGGTTTATATCTTTGAATAGCGAGGGATTCTTGATACAGCAAATAGATTTATCAATTACTTTACTGTTGTGGAAAACATATGTTCAGCCATTATACTGGTTTGATCAGACTTTGCGTCAAAAGAACTAATCATAAAGAACTAATAATAAAGAACTAATCATATTTAATTAATAATATTTAATTAATATTTCTAATAATTGTATCATATTTCTTCATATAAATACTGCTTTTGATATATAACCTAGCTAGTTTATCCTGATGATGACTGAAATATAGTCGAAACATAGATAAATAAAAATGTTATCGATTTTTGGAGTTTCACTTGTTTTGTATTTTATTAAAATACTCAGTGGTTCTAGAAATTAGTGTTGTATAAATCAGGCCTCGAATTTCCCTGATATCAATCGACGGCAATGGCGTTAAAAATTGCCGTGGAACGTAACAGCTGTCTACGGCAATTTTGGCAGTTTCCACGGCATTTTGAGACTAAAATAATGATTTACGCATGATTTGATCAACATCTGAATTCAAGTATCAAAGATAAAAATTGCATTATACGGCAAAAAATTGCCGTCGTTGCCGCAATGATCCACGGCATTTTGTTCTCCCTCTACGGCAATTACGCGATTGCCGCGATAAAATTCGAGCCCTGGTATAAATAGATAGTAAGTGTTTTGTATTTCTAAAAAATGTATATATGTATTCATAAACGGCCCCTTGAAAATCAGTTTTTCTTTACCGCTGAAGGGCTACCGTTTTCAAATCATTTTAAATAAAAGTAATAATAATAATATAAATGCAGCCGTTGTATCAAGACGTGAAAATCTGTGATTTTGCGTTGTAAGCAGAGCGAGGACAATGTCTAAATTATTTATATTTCTCAGTTTTCAATGATTTATTGTATCGGTAGCCGTTGCCATCGCGTTGCCGCCGTCTAAATCGTAAGGTCTCTAGTAAATTATATAACGCGACGTTTTATTATAAATACAAAATCTGAGAATACAGTAGGTCGTTTGCAACCTGCTTCAATCGCTGGCTGCAAAACAACGTCTGTCGAAGTATTTAGTGTATAATGTTGCATGGCCGCGGATTTTAGTTACAGTATCCATATCAGTCTGCATTTTCGACAGTTCGTTTTAACGACATTTGCCTATTTTACTCTATATAAGAATACCACTGCACACTGCCACTAGGATTTTAGAAACAAACGAAAATGCAAAATAGGCAGTAACTTGAACCAGGCAAACATTACACTAAATATTTCTACAATTACAAAGTTTGTTCTGGTCATGTTTTCGAAAATCAAAACCCGCACCTAGTCCCTTAACCGCGATTGTGGTTGTCACAAGCAATAAATTAATATAAGTAATTAAATTTATCTGCATGATAAACTTTTTAGTAAATATATTATATAACTATAAATTACATAGGATTAAGTTCTACAACAGTGGCCCAACAGTGCAATGGTCTTAACGTCCAGTTCGTCCTTGTCCTTTTGAGTACAAACCTTTATTTAGCTTGCATGTTTATATGGACACGGATTTGTAGTTATAATTATTGTATATATACGCCGTGATTTATACGATTTCATCTTTTATTTTTAGACAAGATGTCAGATATCCACAGGAAAACCGAGGAAAATGGCGTTATTGACTTAAAAGAGAATTTGAAAGAAATGCCAAGAAACATGCATATCTTTTCCTTGTCAATGCGAGCCCTTTACACCGACAAAGCTGTTGGCACCTCCACCAGTGCTGCACGTAAATTCAGAAAGCTTCGAGATGACACAAGAGATGATGCTATGGTATACTTGAAGTGCATCCTTCCCATAACCACCAAGTTTGTGATGTCCATTAAAGAATACTTCACGAATTACGACGCTCTGTCCTATGAAGAATGGTGTGAAATGTTGCCAGATATTCTCAAAGAAACAACAACGTACAAAGAACTGGCGCAAACGGTGAAAGGAATGTACGAGGAGATGATGGTTTCTTTAAAGAGACGTCAGGACGAGGCGAAAATTATCATGACAGGATTCAAAGATCTACAACGTAAGTTTGAAAAACAGAAAGAGGAATTGGAAGGCACGGCAAAAAAGAAAATGGACTGGGCAATTGGTCTTGCATTCGTTCCTTACGTAAATATGATTGCGATTCCTTTGTTGGCACTTTCTGCAAACGACGATATGGCAAAAGCAGTTGCCAAGCAATCCGAGTCAAGCATCCAAGAAGCTGCAGCTCTCGTTGTTGCAGAAACCCTAATCCCAGCTCTGACCAATTTCATCGAGGGTCTGACAAAAGCAGCAGGGTTCTTCCAAGTGATGGAAACAGAATTGCAATCGTTTGAAGAAAACTCAGCAATTGAATCTCCGAAAAAGCTTCATTACATGCGAATCAGAAACGAAGCCAAAGAATTGAAATCTCTGTGCCAAGCGTTCTACGCAGTTCTGCCAGCTGTTCGCACCGACTTTGAGGCAATTCCAGATGAAGGCACAGACCAAAACTACGTTGACAAATGGTTGGAGAAACAACTGGCCGAGACTGAGAAAAAAAGAAGCATGGTTCAAAAGTTTTTATTAAGTATTCTTACAGCTAATACAGGAAGCAAAGAAGAAGCTAAATAACTTTTCTCAGATTTAACATTTAGTTGCATGACAAAGTTGAAACAGTAAACATTTATAAGACATTATGACTGTAGAGTCTAATCAGTATGAATGTAGAGTTAAGTCTTTAGTTTATTGTATAAGGTAGTTGATTTATTAATCATTATTAATTGTTCATCATTGTATTTTTGAGTTGTTCATAGATTCTATAACTTATGCACGTACTCGAGCACTTATTTGCTGTAAAAAATGCTATACCATACCAAATCGGTTTCTGAAGAGCAGATGCTGGCGGTCAACCTGATGTTGATAGAAGTAATAGAAAGTTCAGGGCCGTCGCTGGGGGGGGGGGGTGTTGAGGGTGTGACACCTCCCTGAAAACATCTTGTCGACAAAATGAAGGATTTTGCCAGCGATTTTTACATAGGCGACTACTAGGAGCCTGACAACTCACTAATTTCCTGTTCCATTTCCATGCTTGAAATTACCTCGGGGGGGGAGAGTTTTATTTTAAAATTGCTTTTAGTTTTAAGCAGGGTTCACACTAGCAATTTTTGTGTTTCTGAAGTATAGAGTAGCCGGCGTCGCATACTTCAACTGAACACATGTTTTATCTGATAAAACACGTGTTTTGAAGTATGCGACGCAGGCTAGTATAGAGTCGCTTTTCAGAAGTACTAAACAATTATAAGTCTTTTGCATGTCATTCATTCGATCTGACATTGGCCAGGAGAAAAATGAAATCGCCGACAGAATACCATTCAAAAACAAATTTTACCAAAAATGTACTAAAAAAATTCATTACTAAAATTTTACCAAAATTGACGAAATAGTGGAAATACGGTACGTGGTGTGAAATATGGAACATTTGTGTATATGAAAGGGTATACCTGTGATATATCCAAACTATATCCGCATTATCTACATTATCCCGCAACGTTTCACAAATATCTGAGAAGACTAGTGGTAAATACTATTTAATACTACATCTGTTAAAATTAAACAGATTTTTTAATCAGCTTATTTGAAATGTGCTTCAAAACAACTTGTGGGAAATGTGGCAAAGTTACCTGGCAAGGTAAGATTTGAAAGACCTTGAAATGATTTGCGAATTTTGTTACAAAAATAGCATATTTAAGAATGAAATTAATTAAGGAACAGGACATATATTTAGCTGTTGTCACTTGTCAGTAAAAGTTCGTTTCAAATTTTGTTGTAGGATGTGGTAAACATGCAGAACAAGTAATGAAAGATGTGCCTGCAGCAGAAAGATGTGTTTGCCCTCGAGATTAGTGACTTACTGACTTGACAAACTTTTACTCAATACTCTAGTTAAGTTCGTAGGTTTAATATAATGACTAAACGTGCACGAACACACGCCGAAAATTGAAATTAAAAGTAGCTTGCTTTTATTTACAAAATCATGGGCAATTCAAAAAATTATCTGTAACCATTGAAACGTAGTTAAATTATTTGTGTGAACCCTAAGATACATATCTTGAACTGTCACAGCCATTGTCGACTCGAGCACAGAATATAAAGGTACAGCAGAAGCGTCACTCAAGCAAGTATTTGTCCACGTTTTTACAAGCAATTCATCATCAATCACGCCATCCTGGCTAGTACAACCGACACTTTGTACCTACCAAAACCTGATAAAAACTTCCGGTTGTACTATCCAGGATGGCGTGAGCGAGTTAAAATTTTCGTGGATGCAAAACAATAAGGGAACCGACTCAAGTGACGCTTCTGCTGTACCTTCTTATTCTGTGACTCGAGTAACCGCTGCCACACCATGATTCATCATCAAAATGCTGACGCCATGGTCCTAGCCAGTGCATGTTTGAGAGGCATTCCCCCCTGGGCGTCCGCCATTTTGAATAATATAATAATAATAATAATAATAATAACACTTTATTTATTGAGGATAAACAGATAAAGTTACAAGTCCTTCTAAACTCTATAGACACAACAACAATAACATTAATTAAACATGACTATTTTCAGTACTTCCTATAGGAGTATGAACAAATGAAATCATGAGTATAAAGTATTAACCAGTATATATCAGGGGGCGAATGCCTCTCAAACGCGCACTGGCTGCGACCATGGCGTCAGCATTTGATGACGAATTACGGGTTATGCGAAAAACGAGTTTCTCTGTAGCCAAAGTAATGCAAACCTTCTCCCCAGCGTCTCTTCTTATCCCCTGGGGATGAGGTTGAGGCAATCAGGCCTTAAAATATCGGTCAGTCACAGACATTGTCCGACCCATTCGTGAAATTGTCCGATGTACAAAGGAAACCACCGGACATTGTGTCCGACCAAAGTGAAACTGAGGTTTATTGTTTGTCCGACCCGAGTGTATTGGTGTCCGACCAAACTGTAGCTTTGTCCGACGTAAATCAAAATGTACCCTAGCCTAGGACTAGAGGCTTGTATGTTAAATCGAAAATCAGAGTACTATTGTATAAAAGGTGAACTGGAAATGTTGTTTTAATGTAGTCGAGCGCGGGGCAGCAAGCAAAATGGTGAAGTGGAAAACGGGCTTAAGTTGTCAAAATCTTTTTTAATACTGCTGTTCTGGAAAGCAAGTTAATTTTGGCTTGGAAATAAGTATGAAAGAAACAAATTATTTAATATCTTTACAACATTTACCATTTATTCATTTGTGTCATTCAGACTTATTTCCGAGTCAAAACTGAACTGAAGGTCATCGGACATATGTCTGACCCAAACTCAACATCACCGGATATTTTGTCAGACGGCCCTGTAAAAGATATTTTAATTAATGAGTTAACATGTATGTCAATACACAATAACACAATATATTATTTTAAAACAATCAAAGAATGGTTCCTAAATTCCCAGTTTTTCTCTAGCTTTCTCTTCAATATCTAAGCGGCAAGATGAGTTGTGAATAAATGGTGTCCATGTGCCTTGTATTGAAGGATTATCTGTGTGCCAGCGCCTTGTGTTTTTCTCTAACTTCTTCCCTGATTCACTTCGTAACCTATCAACCCATTTTTGAATGTCTTCTACATCGCTATTCTTCACTGGGATTACTTTGCTGCTGCCATTTACTGAAAGAAAATAGCTTCCATATAAATTAATAACGCAGAGGTTATTGTTGCAATACCGGAACTTTGAAGGCACTTGCCTTGCATGTGCTATCGCCCGGAATTTCAAGTGTATGTGTAAGAGTTCTTCTATGGCCTGCAAACAAGTGGCCAGAACGGTTAGGATAAGAAGTTCTCTAGTGTGGGACAGGTATAAGGTTCATGAAAAAATTATTGTCCATAAAAACATGAATATTGTGTGTATGCATGTGTAATACCAAGTCAGATCAAAAGCCATAGAACTTAAAGTTCTGGTGTAGGATGAATAACCACGGCAAATATCACACCCTTCCAGAAAGTCTGTAAACCGAGTGTAAAATGAAAAACAACAAGTCTTTATAATATAGTGATTCATTCATTCATTCAACATCACTTTGGCTACAGAGCCTTGTTTTTGTGATGAGATGTTGAGCTTTAACTAATATTAAACACACGAAAACGAGGCTCTATAACCAAAGTGACATATACTTAAATATGGAAGGGTGTATTATTAAAACAAACATTGGTTAGCCAAATAAGATAAACTTACAGTAATTTGCAATGATACGAGGATGTCTGTCAGGTCTTTCTGTGACATATACGGCGATATTTGGATAGTTCTCTGTTAATAATGTCACCCTTTTATTAACAAAATCTCTATAAAAAACAACAAATATATTTGTATATTCAGGAAGTTCAATTATAATCTATACTGGGAGATCTATATTAATCTAATAAATATGAACGCTTTTGTTTCAAACTACCTCATTCCTCTGCTACTTCCCCCAACAGGACAAAAGTTAAACGTTAATCTTTTTAAATGACAAATATATCTACCAAAGCTGTTTGAGGCAGCCATGTTGTTTACTGTTACGCAATCTCGTCTTTTGAACGATCTTATTTTATAAAAGTACCCCCCCCCCTCTGACCTCCTAATCCCGGGGGCGTATCTTGCTTGCGTGAGGGGATGGGACCACTGGACTGGACTTATTAGAGTGGAGGCAAAGAATAGAGACCATGATTCGCAATGAGTGCCTATGAGAGATCCATTCATGAATTCATCCTCCTGAACATCTACCATTTTTGAATATTTTTAGGGGGTGAATGCCTCTGAGCCCAGACTGTAAACTTTGGCGCAGAAATTTTAGCTGAATTTCTGTCCGCGCATTTTCAAGAAAATCCTACAAAATCTGCATATTTTTGATGAACTAATGATTTATTTTGTCTCTTACGTGTTGGGCCTTGCGAGAGAAAACTCTGAAAATGCCATTTCAGATCATTACAGTCTGGTGCCTCTCATAAGCGCACTGGTTGGCAAAAAAGTCGACCTTCTATAGGGGGCGTATTGAATATTGATGTTGGCAAAACACAGCAAGAGGCCCAGAAAACAAGAGGCCCACTATAAAGTGAGAACCCAAATACATTTTTTCCTCTAAAAAGGGGAGCTTTTATAGCTTAAAATGCTTGATAGACTTTATACGGTAACCCGCATCCAAATTACCATAATTATATAAAATGTAACCATTTGAAAAAAAAAACAAATTCAATTTGTTCAGTTTGTTCAGTAGTGTCAGTGACTGATTACAGGCCGGAAATTTCAAGGGAGAAAATTACAGTATTTCAGTAGGGCCTTCAGTAGGCAAAGCACTGAGCTATAATATTACTATAGTTGTATAATTGTAATATAGTATAGCTCAGTGAGGCAAAGCATGCAGGCCGCACAAATTAAAGCGTCCGAACGATTTTCGCGGAAATTTGCGCGAAATAAAATACAGGAAGAAGTGTGTGTGTTTCAGGTGTATTTGCCTACGGTATTTATGAAACTTCCGGCATGTAGGGAAAGGAGAAGTCGGATATTTCTGAGTATTTTGTTTATTTTCATATCGTCTGAAACACAAATACGGGCAAATAATGCATATTCCTTCAGAGTAGAAGTCCTTTCTTGGAATGAGAATCAAGTTGCTGATCTACTTCGCGAGGTTAGATATTGACGTGCTTCTGCTTGAGTGAAATGTTTTTATTATAAATACTTGAATCATCTGAGTCGAAATATGCTGATCTGCAGTGGTCACGTAGTCTAACAGTAGAATTTGATTTATATCTATACTATAGGAAATGTTCTATTGAGCAACATGTAATTTAAAATATTGCTTTAATGCTTTTATTTATCCGATAAAGCATGTAATCTTAAAAAGGAAATTTAATTTTTAATCGCCACTACTTGACTCAGTTGACTGTTCGTTTCCTTGTTTGAGCAAAATATAATTCTTCTCATTTTCAGCGCAATAAACAGTAATGGCTAGCATTCCGAAGGTCGTAGGTTTGATTCCCACCGTGGTCAGGCATATTTTTCAAGCTTGCCCGGTGTGGATATACACTCAGAGCAACATCACAAGCATCATATTCACCTGAGTACATTGCACCAACACAGAAAAAAAACAGTATTAATTCTACAATGTTTGCGTATGATGTGAGATGAATGTTAAAAAAAAATTTCAACAGCAAAATACGGTCAAGCTATTTTAATGAACAGTTGTATTTATGTAATTGTATGTTTTCAATGTATATAATTTGGCTTCTAATTGACTTAACTTTTAATTAATACTTTAGTATTTTTGTAATAATTCTCTATATTATTAACTGGTTATTACATACAATGGAATTAGTAAATTTTGATATGATTTTGTTTAATTGTGGTATTAATACAGTATTACTGTATTTGTGGTAAGAATAGCATTATTAATTAGCGAAATTATATCTTGACGTTCGTGTCTGATAAATGTTAACACTTATTCAGGCACTTATACCTGTGTCAAAAATTGATATGCTGTTTATCAACACTGCTCTTATACTTATAATTATATAACATAATTTAACAGAGAATGTTTTATTACAGCACCAGTTACTTGACTGTGTTGATTGTATTTATCAAAGACATATTAATGGACAAAAATTATTGGTATGTTTACATCTACACTGTATGCACAAGTATTTACTTGAAAGGTTTTGCCCATTACTAATTGTTCTGCATTGCTCTGCACCCCCCCACCCCCCCCCCCCAGAAAATTAATCCCAATTAGCAACTGTGCCCCTAGACCCCAGCTTGGAGTACAATGAAAAATTTCTTGTTTTGGAAAATTAATATGCTGACAAATATTCTGATCCTTTTCAGTACTTGAAGGAGGGTGATGTTATGTATTTCTTAGAAATCCACGATCAAAGAAGTCGAGGGTATGTTTACTATTGAACCGTCAGTGTAGGTAGTAACAAGCTTTTTGGTAATAAAAAGTATTATTCTCACATGAAACAGTTCAATGCCGGTAACAATTATTGAAGTCAATCCATCCTCGTTCCCAGAGCTTCTCGGCTGCCTGATGTTGCAATATCAGGCAGCCGAGAAGCCCTGGGAATGAGGATGAAGTCAATCAGCATAAAACTAGTTAGACATGATTTGTTGTAGGCTGTTTTGATATTGAAAAAAATCAATATATCAATATGGAAAAAGTATCCATAATATTGAATTATGCAAATTAGAAAACCTACTTGTAGTCAACTTGCATGTGTACCGCATTAGTGCGTCACAAACAGCAAAAAACAAGGTTGCATGAAACAAATAGCCTGCATAGCAGCCAGTTAGGAAAATTAGGGTGGGAGAATGACACGGAGGCGGAGGCATTTTTATTAAAGTAATTCCAAACAGTACTTTGTTGATTAGACATATATTGTCTAGACTTTCCTTCGTAATAGAACTGTGAGTTAGATGAGCTGTGATATTTTGATACTTTGTTTTTAAACCTCCGCCGATATATACGTGCCATTAAGATTATTATTCAAAGTAATGCAGATTCCATCTTTATGAGTCATCACACAGAACTTGTTGTTTCAAGCGGTTGTTGTCTACTTTACTTTAGACTTAATAGTGTTTAATTACCTCGGGTCGGTACCACACCGAGGTCATAAATTCGGCTCCTATTTTTTTCCCATTTTGTGTCGAGCCGCGCGCGTAGTCGAAGAGCCTGCGGAGGAGACGACAACTTCCAGTAAATAAGTGTACTTCCGGGAAATTTCAAGCATTGGCCAAAGCGAAACAGAACCCGAAGCTGTCCTCAGGGATGCCGGAAGTTGCTGAGGGCAAAGGGTGTGATTTGCTATCAAATGGGCACATTTTTTAAAAAAGGGCAGAAACAAAAATGAAAGGGCATTTGCCTACTTATAACCTTATTTAAAATCAAACACAAGCAATGAAGCAACCTTTTATTTATTTCAAACATTAAAATAAGGCACACAGAATTAGCAGAAAACTGTTTCGCTTTCTCTTCTACTGAAAAAAGTTTTGTGTGGCCATTTACTAGCTATAGGTTATGCAACTAAATTCATTGTTTATAACATATATAAACTTAATAAACTTCTCCAATGTAACCTATTCGTTTGAAATCTTTTGTGCACCCGTTGCACCCATAGTCTGCACCCAAAAAGTTATGAATACAAAAGGCATGGGGTGCACTTGCACCCGCTGCACCCATGGTTCCGGCATCCCTGGCTGTCCTTGCACAAAATCCGTCAAAATTGTTGATTTAAAACCAGAAAATGTGATAATTTTGACATACATGTTTAGCTGGATAACTATTCTCGAGTATATGTTGATATGATGTTCAATACTTCGTATGCATAGTATGGGAATACCGCGGCCAACTTTCACTTGTTTGATACTGCTAAGCATTTTATGGATGGTTCTTACTGTAACTGGTAGACAACAATTTTGCCAACTGTCCACTCATTACATTCTTCGACTGTGGTACAACTATTACTAATGATGGATCACCACTAAAGATGCACCTACAGTAATTATATTTTCGGTACTTTGATATATTTTAAAAATATCTGAAGTGACTGTTGTTCTGCTATGTGCAATCAACAAATAGACTGATAATATTGTCTGTTAGTGTTACTAAATACAAGATGAAGAAGTGAAGTAGCTATCTATGTATATCATTCACTTGTCCACAAAATATCCCAAATAATGAATAAATACAGTTAAATAATTGCGTCAGTAAATTCTCTAAATTGTTCCTGTATTTAACTATTATCAATAAAATGTTAAAACTGAGCTTTGATTGACTGATTCACCATTTATACTAGTGAACTATTAAACTATCGTGATTTACACGATTTTTGCATATTTACCAGATGATGCGCTACCACCGACCCAAGGTTAACGCCGAGCGGGCGTCTTGTTTTATATAGTTTCTCTCTTAAGGTGGCTCGCTACAGTTTATAGAAATGTTGAAAATGCGTAAACTAGATCACCTTTTTGAAGAGATGATGCTCTTTACAAATCGAAATTTGTATATTATATATACAGCGACAATCAAACAGTCGAAAATTGGTCAGAAAAGTGATGTCACCACTGTTGCTATGGCAACAATGACGATTCAAGATGGCCGATATTTTGGCTTTGAACGCATTTTACTTTAAAAAAGGTCGATTACCCCCATTTTTTATTTCAGAAAACATTTTCTTATAGTACAATACACTATCTGACCAATTTTAAAAAAATTCTGTAATGCCAAATTTTTAAAAAATTTATAAACATGGTTTTTCGAAATAATTTTTTTTTGCATTTATACAGAATTTTCTTAAAATTGGTCAGATAGTGCATTGCACTATAAGAAAATGTTTTCTGAAATAATAAATGGGGGTAACCGACCTTTTTTCAGGGCCCGCGGAGCGTATTAGAGAGTGGGGGGGCTAAATCATCAATAAAACCCCCAATTAATTAATTTAGAAAGTTTCATTTAGATTTCTATTTTAATAATTTTGGCTGTCAAAAAAAGTGGGGGGGCTAAAGCCCCCCCCAGCCCCCCCGTCTCCGCGGTCCCTGTTTTTAAAAGTAAAATGCGTTCAAAGCCAAAATATCGGCCATCTTGAATCGTCATTGTTGCCATAGCAACAGTGGTGACGTCACTTTTCTGACCAGTTTTCGACTGTTTGATTGTCGCTGTATATATATAATATACAAATTTCGATTTGTAAAGAGCATCATCTCTTCAAAAAGGTGATCTAGTTTACGCATTTTCAACATTTCTATAAACTGTAGCGAGCCACCTTAATATATTACATATTAATCAAAATCGTATTTTTTCTTTATTCTTTTTTACTGACATCATGTGTCATGCATACTGCACATTTGAGTTTGTAACAACTAGCTGTAGTTAGTGAAGTCGCAAAGTTTCAACTTAACCACAATAGCACATGCAGTTGTGACGTAAAATAAAGTCAAGTAAAGATAGTTTTTTCTTTTACCGAAAGTGACTTGGTCAAAATGAGAATTTGACCGGACAAGTCCGCATTCTGGCTGGCCTCGAAATAAGTGCCGGTCACTGACCGGTAAAATTTCACAGTTTGACCAGCAAATATCGTCGCCTGGCGGACATGCGTGACCGGTAGATGTTTTAATAAAAAAGTATGGTAAAAAATAGAGAAAATTTTGATTTCCAATTTTCCAAAGAAGTGTATGTTCGTCCGTCTACGGTGCAGGCTAATAAGGGCGTCGAAGTGACACATTTTGTCATACAGATACGATATACTTTCCACTGTTGCGTTTTTCATACGTACGTATACGCACTTAAAACTTTAAATCCGTTTAAATGTTACTTATGAAATAACCAAATAAATAAAGGAACAGAATTTAGTGTTCCGCAAGTTTTAGTATGCATTTGTTAACTTATTTGTAAAATATTTAAAAAATAGAAGGATTCAAAGTTTTACGTGCGTACGAAAAACGCAACAGTGGAAATCAGCCTTAAGGGCTGTTTTTCACACGTGCGATGGAAAAGTTTAAATCTTTTAAAATTTCATATAAGTGCAAATAACCTTAACAAATACACTGACATTAAATCATACACAAAACTGAATGCTGTCCTTTTTGTAAATTTAGTTATTTCATAAGTAGGATGTAAAACGATTTCAACTTTTACGTGCGTGTACGGGCGTATGAAAAACGCTTAACTGGAATGCAGCCTTAAAGTATGCTCGCAACTCAAACTATATATACAGTTGTCATTTGCGACTTAATATATTAATTTGCTAGTAAACAATGTTAATGTTATTAGTAATGATTACTACTACAGCTTTGATAAACATCATGCTTCTACTTTGTATACAAATACAATTAAAATACACAATTGTTTCTAAAGTTACTGTACGAGCACGCGGAAGATGAGGGGAAAAAAGAAGCTAAGGAGTGACAATGACCAGCATAAATTCCGCTGTGACCGGTAAATTTAGTGATCCATCGGTCATAATGACCGGTATAACGTCCAGATTTATTTCGAGGCTTGCCTACGATCTTGACAAACATTGTAGAATAATGTGAATTTGGAATGTTTATTTTCACCAGGAAATTTTGGAATATTGTGAAACAAATAACAGAGAAAAACGAGAAAAAAGGAGGGGTTCATAGTTTAATGAGGTGAGGTGATTAGTATACTACACAACAATAATCATTTTTTGATTGTGCAAATTAAAAACCTGGATTTACATAAACCTAGGTTTTAGGTTATTATGTCTATATAATACCAAATATTCCCTATTGTCAAGGGTGGAAAGCGGTTTGCATTGATGTGTATCATCTGTAGAAACCTTTAATAAAACTTAACTTTTTTATCTTACTAGTAAATTTCAAGATACTAGTTCTGAATGGAATAATGCAGGTATACATATAATGCAATATATATATATATATATATATATATATATATATATATATATATATATATATATATATATATATATATATATATATATATATATATATATATATATATATATATATATATATTAATTGTCAATGAGTTGTATACTAGGATTTACAGAAAGATGTGGATTATTAGATTATAACAATTTTGCTTGGATCTGTTCAATGCAGGCCCGCCAAGAGGTTGCACGGTGCCTGGGCAAAACTTTTCCAGGGGGCGCCAGTATGATGTGATAACTGTAAAACACTCTGGGGAAGCAGTGTTTTACAATATTTTACACTTATTTGCATATTATCCAGCACTAAACACAGCTAGGATTTAGGATTCATTTTTAGCAATTTTGTATAAAAATATTTTTAGGCCCATCATTGCTTCTGGCTGGGTGGCTGTAGCTAGCTGCTTGTCAGGCTCTTTGCTTGAAATAGAGCCTGCTACTGAATTCAATAAAAAGTGGACAGCAATTTGGATGGCCCGAAAATAACAACCAATCAAAACGACGATTGTTGATTAGATTATCAAAGCTATTTAAAATATGACAATGACAGACTTGCTTTAGATCAGGAAACTGCTATTAATATCTCGGAAATAAATGGTCCAATTTTCATTCCCAATTCAATGGCCAGGAATTAATTACATACAAAAGATTCCTAACAGTACTGACTGTGTTTATGGGCAGTAAAAGCAGGAATTAAGGTGGCGAAAAGTACAAGTACGGAATATTATATTACGTAAAAAATAACTTGATATTGCCTTAAAATGCAAGGCTATTTATTTCTGACCAATGGGAATATTGCGTCTGATTTGTACACATACAGTAAATCCACTTATTATTGACTTCAGTAGCAGGCTCTATTTCAAGCAGAGCCTAACACACCGACTAGGATGTCCAGGGCGAAGTGCCCTCCCTGCCCCCTCCCCTTGGCAGCCATGCTAATGAGGTAGTATTATAATAATTTGAACTTCTTTTTGGTTCCAGTAGAGGAAGATGAATGCAGTGATGCGTCTGTAAGTTAGAATATTTAATTTATTTATTTATTATTAATGGTTGAGGCTTTAACAGGAAATATTAGGTACTATAGCTTAAGATCTATGACGCTGACTGGGACTAGGTTGTTGTCCTAAATAAATAAACATGCACTTAAGATTCATGACATCCAGCTTCAAACTATGAATATTTACATCCTTGTGAAAATGAATTTTAAAGAGTTGTGTGAATTTGTTACTGTTTGTTATGCTCTTGTATCCATGATGGCAAAACTCTTGTTATGAAGTTGTCAACGTTTTGGTGGATGATGAGTAATGGAGAAAGTTGTATACAGTATATCTACATCAAAAGTGTTAAAAATATAGATTAATAGTTTGGACTTGTATAAATTTAATTGATTAGTTGATTATTTCATTTCATTGATTAATTAATTGTTATTTGATTGATTGATTGATTGATTAATTAATTGGTCCATTGATTAATTAACTAATTGGTTAATTGATTGATTGAGTGATTTGATACATATATTTATTAATGAATTTATTGGTTTATTGATTGATTAAGTGGTTCACTAATGAATACAATTAATTGATTATTTAATTATTTGGTTCATTGATAATCAATTGCTTCATCGATTGATTGAGTGATTGGTACGTTGGTTGGTTGTTGATTAATTTGTGGACTAATTATTGAGCCATCTTAATGGTGACTAGAATTGTCATGCAGACTTTTTAAATTTGGAATTTCATGTTTAACAAATATAAAACATTTTCCGTGTTGATATACAGTTATATCAACACGAGTGGAATTCGGGCGTCGTGTTTTCATACAATTTCGAGTTTTCCCAACTTCCACGAGTGTTGATATAACTATATATCAATACGGAAAAAATGTTTTATATTTTTTTTTATCATATAGCAATGTCAAAAGCCCGAAGGGTAAGAAAAAGTTCCGTGTTGACATTGAGTTATATCAACACGGCTCTTAGCCAATCAGCGTTCAGAATTTACAAATACTATATTATAACAATAAATATAACTTTAGGATATACTGTACATGTCTATTATAATTTTTCAATTTAAAAGTTTGAGTTTTAGTTATGGAATTGCAATTAGATTTTTGAAACATAGGGTCCTATAGGTTTAACCTTTAGTTGTATGAATTCAACTTTTTTTAATATTTTAGGATGATTCATTTGAATCCGATTATGATGAACCAGATCCAGATCCAGAGGTTGAGCCAAAACCCCAGGCTGCTGTAAGTTACCGTAAACCAGGGCTCGAATTTTATCGCGGCAATTGTCGTAGAGGGAGAACAAAATGCCGTGGATCATTGCGGCAACGACGGCAATTTTTTGCCGTGTAGTATAATTTTTGCACTATTCACTGTGCATTACTATTTTGACACTTGAATTCAGATGTTGATCAAATCATGCGTAAACTACTATTTTAGTCTGAGTTTTCTTCGAGAAGAAAACACTAAAGAAATACGTAAACATGTTCCTAGCTTGTCAACAATCCAAATAACAATAAAATTGAATTTTTATTACAGTAATTTGAAAAAATGCCGTGGAAACTGCCACAATTGCCGTAGACAGCTGTTACAGTACGTTCTACGGCAATTTTTAACGCCATTGCCGTCGATTGATTTCAGGGAAATTCGAGGCCTGCCGTAAACCTCCGAATATAAGCCCACCTGAATGTTAGCTCCCCCATCTAGTTTACAGTTACAATAAATATTACTACTAACACCAAATGTCATCCATATATAAGCACCCCCGTATATAAGTCCCCCATGTATAAGGCACTGAGCTACAACTCAATGGTATAAGCCCATAAAAAAATGCTAGTTACGAACGAATATAATAAGTTTGTTTATTAGTTAACACTTTATCCGAAAATGTTTTATTTTTGCTTTTCTGACCGTTTTCAACAACTGTCTATCTTGCGTGTTTGAACTAGATTTCACTGGAACGAAAAGAAACAATCAGGCGAAATTTATTAATGAGCCTTATGCCTCAAACTGCTACTCCACAAGTCGATGACGATGTAAGTACTGTAAATTTCAGCAGTTTTTACGAATGATAAAATTGCACGAGAAACTTATTAATAATATGCATGAAAAACTACTTATTATTACTTATTAATAATATACATGAAAAAATTATGCAGTTACGTGCGTACAGTAAGTCACGTTAAGAAATTAAGAAATTTTAAAAATTAAAAAATTAGGAAAATTTAAAAAAAATTGCACTGTTTATTCTGTATTTCATTTTTTTGCACTGTATTTCGAAAAAATTGCACTGCTCTTAGCCAATCAGAATTGAGAATTTTTTTCATGTATATTATTAATATTTTTATGTGCTACTTAAAACATGAGCAGCAGTGTTCTATCAGATATAAAGATACGAGGCGAAGCCGAGTATCTTTAGGTCCGATAAACACGCACTGCGAATGTTTTAAATTGCTTCAAAAACGATCGATCTACGGATCTAGTAAGTTCATTGACATTGGCGAAGTAATTTTCAAAAAATACGTTGTGTAAAGCCCTGTTTAAACGGATCCAACATTGTTGGGCCAACATCATCCAACATTGTTGAAATAATGGCTCAAACGGCTTCTTTTTCAAATATTTTGTCAAGACTAGGTTTAGGGTTTGAGTAAAGCTTATCTAACCAAAAAGATTTGAAAGAGAAGCAGTCATATCTAGTATAGTAACATTGTTGGATGATGTTGGTCCAACAATGTTGGATCCGTTTAAACAGGCCTTAAGTCGAGAAAATCAAAGACGTTAAAGTTTATGTAAATCAAGGGAAAGCTCTGTCACATATAAAGATACGAGTCCTGCGACATGCTTATCATGATTTTTCTTTGTGTTTTCCTCATGAATCATTTCCTCATGAATCATTTCCCCATGTGTTTTCCTCATGAGTTTTTGAATCATTTATTGAGTATTCTACTATATGACTGAACAATAAATATGGTACAATACATAATATGTTACAAAAGGCAAACAAACAAAAAGACAAGACGACAAAATTAGTAGATAAACTCAAACGAAAGAGCACAAACGGGACAAGACGTCCCATGCAAGGTGTTTCCCGTAATTACTTTAAATATAACTAAAGATAGGACAATATATACTTAGATTCTGTCAAAGTATTATAGCAGGTAGTATAGCACGACTCCACAAGCTTTGTAGCTTTAAAGATAGGGTACAGTCCAGTCTGCGCATGCGCACATAGGAGTCTCCTGTCGTGATATAAACACTTTAATTAGGTTTTTATTTAAAAAATATAAAACATTTTCCGTGTTGATATACAGTTATATCAACACTAGTAGAAATTGGGAAAACGAGAAGTTGTGTGGAAACACGACGCCCGAATGGCGGAGTGTTTTCACACAATTTCGAGTTTTCCCAATTTCCACGAGTGTTGATTATTAACTGTATATCAATACGGAAAAAATGTTTTATATTTGTCAAATAAAAACCTAATTAAAGTGTTTATATCACGAAGCACATAGCACAAAGAAACATAAATAAAGAAATTTTCCAACGTTTCCGTGTTGACATCGAGTTATATCAACACGGCTCTTAGCCAATCAGCTTTCAAAATTTACAAATGCTCTATTATAATTCATTTTATGTTCTTGCAAAGCCTGATTGTTGTATCTTGATAATTTATTATACTGTACAATCATGAAAATATAAATAGTTGTCGAATAAAGTTCAATATTTTGAATACCGAAATGTAAATAAAGGCTTTGTTTACATACGGACTGTACCCTACCTTTAAGTACAAATCGTGATTAAATCAAGTCTTACCTTAGGAGTAGAAGAACATAAATTATATGTATCAAATTATTTATTTATTTGTTCCAATTTCAGAGTCACGAAGATTATCCAGAACCTGAAGATATTTACGACGTTCCGGAAGAAGGTTTTGGTAAGAAATATATTGCATCCTTTTCTCCTTTGCCTTCCAGGGGATTCCATAGTTACTTATCCTACGGGAGCCCCATCAATACCAGCCATTCTTGGGTTTCAATCACTTAGTGAAATTTTAGCATAATTGAATTCAAGTGGGGATCAATCATAGAACTAAGGTCAACTGAAACAACAAAGAAACAAAGTAACTGTCAACACATCTTATATAAATGAGTTCCATGCCTATAGAAAAGGAAAATTTTCATCCTGGCAAAAAATATCAATTTCATTTTGGATCTTCAGTGCTGTAGCTGGAAAAGCCTGGAATCTCTAAGCCAGGGGATTTCGGGAATCTGGGTGGGCCCAGGAAAATCTAAAGTTTCTTAGAACTGACTCAACTCAGGAACATATTACTATTTTAGTGATTTTACATCACATAATTTGTGACTTGTGTGGATGAGAATTCAGAAAATATCATATAATACACACTGGGAAGAATATTTGTGCAGAAGAATTAAATCTTAGCATTGAAGCATTCATATTTCATAATTGATATTTGATAATTTCAATATTTCAATCAATTAAGTTTAATTGACAGCTGTTAATACAGCAGCCACTGCTGACAATATAAAAGCCGCCCTTCTCCCTTGACACAAACCCTTGCAGGAAATGGGTGTGTTGTGGTGTGATTAGGGTGCGGCCTCGTCACAAAAAGAGCTTACTTCGAAATAGGCTTACTGCAAGATTACCGGCCTCTCTAAAAATCCATATTCAGAAAGTCTAACACGAGTGTAGAAGCGTATTTTAAATCTTACTCATGTCTAGGTCAGCCGAATAGGTGGCGGTTGTCTACCCTCTCCCCCAATTTATTTCCAGTGAGCTCCATATATATCTGGAGCGAGAACTCGAGTCCAAAAGGTAAAGCCAAAGATGGCGGAAATTGAAGAGCTATTGGACGTCAACCCAGTCCCTTTCTATTGTCTTTGTCTGCGCGGTCGGATACGAAGCTGCCAAAAGTGTGCCGAAATTTCGTATTTTGACTTCGATTTAAAGATTAATATTATGATTTTTATGAACTGAAAACTTGATTAGCTGGGGGAAAATGGTACTATACTGTCTGTTAGAAAATGACTGGATTTAGCTGGGGGGAAATGGTACTATACTGTCTGTTAGAAAATGACTGGATTTAGCTGGGGGAAATGGTGTTAAAACTGTTTACGACCTTTAGAGCTATTGGACGTCAATTCCACCATTTTGGCTTCACCTTTTTCATGGGCCGAATGACTGAAGTTGTTGCTCCAGATATATATATATATATATATATATATATATATATATATATATATATATATATATATATATATATATATATATATATATATATATATATATATATATATATATATATATATATATATCACTGTTTATTTCTTACTTACGACGTCATGTCTAGGTGAACCAGATGAAGATATGTATGACGTACCAAGTGATGAATCTGGAGGAGGTCTGTAAACTAGTTTATTTGGCAAGATTTATTTTTCGAATAAAGATAGTATTGTTTTATTTCTACGTTTCGACATGCAAGTTGTTACAGGTCTGCAAACAAGTTGTCACAAATCTGTTCACAAAATGCCAACAAGTTGTGTTCGCACTGCTTGTTCGCAGTAATAAGTTTGGAACAAGCTGTTAACAACTTGCAACAAGCTTGATGGCATTATCAGACTTGTATATAGCAAGGTTGTTCTAATAACAAGAATGTTGACCACACAAGGTTGTAACAATATTGTTAGATCGTGACTTTATCGGACTTGTTGAAACAACCTTGCGACAAATCTGTTAACAGCTTGTGCTAAACTTGTTGACAACTTGGGACATGCAGTGCGAACACAATTTGTTGACGGCTTGTTGGCAGACTTGTTACAAGATGTGAGACTTTTGCGTGTGTACATACTGTATACTCGGGACATAGAAATAACAAATAGCTATTTTTATTCGGAGTGGTAGTTGTGTATTTTATGAAAACCAGGATGCGATAATTCCACGTACTTAAGTACCGGAAGTACGTCGCCATTGCTACGGTCTTTGTTTTCGGCACCGTGAGAACGCGGAACTATATCGACACTGTGTATGAACATTTTAATTATACGAGCAAACTTTGCCAGGCATTCAAAACCGTTCAGCAGTTTGTACATGGAAGTTACATTGTTAATGAGATTGTGCTAATCAAACAAAGCGGGAATATTGTGGAAGAATGTGGATTGTCAGATCTCACAGAGGTACCTTGCTCCTCGCTCCAACTTGTCAATTGACAAGTGTGGAACAAATTGTTATCGTCTTGTAACTTGGCCGATTCAGACTACGGAATGTTTGCCTAAAACCTGATTTCCACATGGTCGTAACTGTCGCAAACGTGTTGTAACTCTTGTCAGAGTAAGTCTGGTTACCATATGGTCGCAACGATCGTAAATATTGAGTCACGATCTTTGTCATCAGCCGAAATACAACATTTTAGAAACATGAAAATACGCGGAGTGATTATAAGTAGAGAATACTTATGATTTATATAATAATAATAATTATAATAATAATTATTTTTTCAATAGCATTTCCCTCATGGAAGGCTCTTCATCTATTGAAGACTACTCTAAATTACATAGATTTTTATGTACATGTTTACTATTATAAAGTATCTAACTATAAATACTATATAAAAAACTATAATAACTATAACTGTTCGTCACAGCGTTCTTTTAGAATCGCCTTAGTAAGGGAACAGAAACGCCTAAAATCGTCACAAGATCTTACTGTAGATGGTGATTCATTGAAAAGTGCAGATGTGTTATCTTGGAACGTGCCTGACTAGGGTTATCGATACCGATGAGCACAATGTCCTTGCATGTGAGACAGTTTCGAGTCGGAGATATTCCGGCCAATCGTTGCTATGTAATGCTTTGTGGGCGGCTTTAAACAGATGCCTTTCTCTACGTTCTCTCATTGGGAGCCAGCCCATTTTAAGGATGTCACAATTCTTGTTAACGTACCTTACAAAACTTGCCGCGGAGAATTGGATACGTTGAAGTCGTTTAAGAAGGTTTTCAGTTACTGGGTAAAATGCAATATTACTAAAATCTAGTCGAGATAAAATTAAGGATTCAACTAAATGTTTTCTGAGATTAAAAGATGTAAAATGTTTAGGTTTTTTAAGTATATTGAGTGTACCATAGCAAGACTTTGCCAAATTTATATGTAGTTTACAGGTATAAACTATTATAAACTGGCCGTTGAGAAAGATCGTGACTCCATTTTTACGACATTACGACCATATGGAAACCAGGCAGTAGCGTTCGCGGCCAAACGGAAACATGAAGAAACGTCTTGTCGCGACACGCTGGCAAAACTTCACGACAGTTACAACAGTGTCGTCGAGACACTGGAAAATTTTTTGAAAATCCATAGAAGATCATAGAATGGAAATTGTATGGACCTTTATTGGAAATAGAATGGATTTTGGTTATCCATAATAATTGTATATTTCCAACTGCAAATTTCATAGTATGGATTTCACATTTTCTCCCCACATTTTCTTCCTATCTCGACGACAGTTGCGCAGGGACGTCGCGAAGGCATCAACATTGGGGGGTTGTCGTCATGTTTTGACCAACATTTCTTAGGATTTTGACCAAGTCGAAAAAATTTTTCCTGAAAATCTTGTCGAGAGGAGGGGGGGAAGGTCGTCAAAAAAATTTTCCGGACTAGCATAAGCATAGTCACAAAAAAATTTTCGGACTAACATAAGCAGATTCCAAAATTTTTCGATCAATATGAGCAAATCTTCCAATTTTTTCACCGCAAACATAACAAAAGCTTTAACATTGTTAAAATTACGAACCATTTCATAACTTTGGGCAACTTCGACCATCTTTTATCCCAAACTTTGACCAAATTTTTCCCAGTTTTACCTTCAATTTTAGGCAAATATCAGTTCCATTTTGACCAACTTTGGGCAAATATCCCTTCCATTTTGACCAACTTTGACCAACGTTTGAATTATTGGGGGGGGGGGGTGTTACACCCCCCGCACACCCCTATAGCGACGTCCCTGCAGTTGCGACAGGCTAAAAACGTGTCGTGACGGTTATTTAAAACTGCCGCCAGCTGCTTGTACGATTTCTGGGCGGGTAATTCCATGGTGATTCATGTTAAATTCTGAACCGAACTATCAGAGTCATTTTGATATGGTGTAATAATTAATATATTTTTTCTGTCACATTTTTGCATGCAGGTACAAATAATCGTAATCTACTGATTCACAGTAAAAATTAAACATTTGATGATAACATGATAAGATTGGTGGCCCTAAGTTGGTGTGTGACTCATGTTACGACAAAGTGACATGAGGTACGTAACACCATCCTAACTACTTTTGAATTTCTTTGGGAACCATAGGAAGGAGAAACATACAATGTATATCAAGTAACAGACTATATGTTAGGCAAACAACCAATGCAAAGAAATTTTATATTTTGGATTACAATAGTAAGGATCGCTACATAATACACGTGACTCATGTTACGTCACTCCTGTTACATATAAAATACAGCTTCATATTTCAGTTCAGAATTGTTTCCGATAGCTTCTGAAAATTCTTGACAACTTTTTTTTTTCCAAAAATGTCATCACTACGATGGAATTACCTGGGTACGAAATTAATTTGCGACAATGTACGAAAGTGTCGCGACAGTTACAGTATACAACCATATGGAAACAAAAATCATTCACGACAAACACTTCACAGCACGTTCGCGACAGTTACCCAACCATATGGAAACAAGGCTTTGAACTGTCACTGCAACCTGCTTACAGCTTGAGTTGTACTGTGTACATCAAGCATACAACTCCCCATGAACACAACGGAGGCGAGATGTGTGCTTGATTTACACAGTGCAACTCAAGTTGTGAGCATGCGACAGTTTTAGGCGAAAGTTGTGTGGCATAGATTGGCCTTAACAAGGTTGACGAGGTCAACAGGCAATGGACATGGAACAAGTTGTTCCAACAAGTCTGATATCGTCTGCATGTAACAAGTTAATTAATGACAACAAGGTCGTAGCAACCTGTTACGAACAGCATGTATTAATTAATCTTGTTGAAACAACTTGTAGCAAGTCTGTTACCATCATCAACCTTATAACAAGGCGATAACAACTTGTCACAACAACTGGGAACAAGCAGTGCGAACACATCCTAATATCGGTTAGACAACAACCTTGTTACACCTTGTTTGCAAATCTGTAACAAGTTGCGCGTTTTTACGTGTGTACACATGTAAAAGTCGCACATCTTGCAGGGTCTGAAATTTGCGGTATCCCGATATCCACGGGATACTGAAATTTGGTTTTGGATACTAAGTTTATTTTACTTGTATCCCGATGGGATACCACATTTTTTTAAAAAACGGGATAGCAGTTAATGTTTTAGTAGTCTC